CTCAACCATTTTAATGTACTTTTAATACAAAAAGTTAAATCAAACAGTAATTCGGATGACAGTAGACGAAAATTGGCCGTGATTATTATGGCCGTGGGATCACTTTGTTTCCAGAATTTTATAAAGATAGCACACAAATAAGCAATGGGCAAGCATTCAAAGCGTGCCATCCTATTGAATTTTTTTTCCATTCTCCAATTGGCTTTTACATGTCACGTGGGAGCTCCAGTAGAATTAAAACCCCATTCTTATTAAATGGGAGAAACAATCCGTGGGAGTCATTTTTTTAAAAAAATTCCACACGTGTTGATTATTATGTACGTATAATGACCTTATAAATATTTAAAGAACATATTTAAACAAACTTGCAATTATTCCAGTGGTGGAACTGACCCTTTTAGGAAATGGGAGAAATCTCTTATTTCAGCCCTATTACTGGAAAAGTACCCGATTTCAGCGTAATGGGTGGATAGGAGAATTCATTCAGATCTCTTTTTGTTTATGACAGGAAGTTTATAATTCAAAACTTTTCTGTAACTAGATATTCAGTTTTGGCCTGTTTAAAATTAAAAAAGTCTGATTTATTTATTTATTTATTTTTTTGCGTTACTGTGAAACGTCTTTTTTAACTGCACACACAGGCGATATGTATAAAAGGAATATTTGTTTTTAAATTCTAGATGATTTAACAGGTATTGGAAATTTAGTGGATGCTGAGTTTGAATATAATAAATTTTATTTCAGAAATGCAGAATTAAAAAATCAGTTACAAATTTTGATCCGTTTAGGTTGATAATAATGATCATATATTTGGAGTAAATGATGAAAGGCTTAATGAAATTTAGCGATTTGATCATGTAGTTCGATAAAAAGTATGCTGCTTCAAAAGCTTTTTTGTTCGGAAAATTACAATTCATTGGTTCATGTTTTGGACAATTTCCTGAGATGTGAACCGAGTCTGCAATTCTCTTATAATTGTGTTGTGATAAATGCTTCCGAGGGATCATCTTGTTTCCAGATTTTTGTATTATTCTACAGCTCATGGGGGATTGACGCATCTACTTTACGGGATCTATCTACCTACTTATATTTTTGTTGATAGCTCTTGTACTTTAAGAGTTATTTTCAGATAAAAATTGAAAAAAAAGATAGTAAGTACACAAAATAGTCAAGACAGTGTAAAGGTTTTTGCACTGCACTTTTACTCAATGAGATCTATCTACCTATAAAGTGGTGGCTATCAATTGTGGTTTCTCAACCGCTTCTCATGGAATGGCATGAACGTGTCTAATTGAAGGTTCAATAATAACAGCCGTATGAACACATCTGCGGATGTTTCTAAATTCAAAATTTCTCCATTACCATTATTAAATTTTGCTTATGCCGTTGCTATAGGGCATGGACGGTAACTTGCACTTTTCATTACCGTCCATGAACAGGCTCAATCAAACCAAGCCTGCAACATTTTCAATTTGGCGGTTCATTGAACGCCGCCTTTCCTTGTTGATCTTGTTTATCATATTTTTTGGTCCTCCGGGATCATTGATGCCAGCACTATTAAGTGTTGAGAATTGAGTACCGCTCAAGCCGGTGCTACGGGGCGTGAGGAATGTTGCACTTGTTTCCAGAATTTTATTCATTATCCCTCATGTACAGACTTAATCAAACCGAGTCTGCAATTCTTACGTTATTTTGTTGTGATTAATGCTTCCGAGGGATCACTTTGTTTCCAGAGTTTTGGGCTTTCTTTAGGGATTCTTTATATATTTGTCTCTATTTAACTACTACACCAGCGTGTTTGTGCCGTGTGGGGGCTTTTAAACATCCCATTCAATCAGGGATGTTATATATCCGATTCTTAAAGATTGTTCAGCACTACATTATTGTTGTGTTTGTGGTGCTTTTAGTTTTTACGTTGTGGCCTTTTTCTAGTTAAGTGGCTATATAATATTCCTACTTGAATAATATTGAATCACCACTAGGTTATGTTGCATGCTTTTTAATCTGTCTTTTAACGTCATATATGTGATATGAAGGCCTCATAATCTCTGATCCCCTTTCAAAGTTCCATTTTATTTAGTTCCGCCCATTCTTTTTTTAGTTTAGGGCACACGCATTCTTTTACTTTCGGACCATACGCCGCTTCTCATGGAATGGCACGAACATTGAAGGTTCCATGCGGATGTTTCTCAATTCAAAATCTCACTATTACCATGATTAAATGTTGAGTTCTGCTTAGGCCGGTGCTAGGGGGTGTGGATGGTAACTTGCATTTTCCATTACCGTCCATAAAAAGGTTCAATCAAACTGCACCTGCAACATTTCAATTTTGTCTTGTTGGGCTTTCTTTAGGGATTTTTTTATTTCTCTCTATTTCAGTGCTATTTCCAAAAGTGTTCTATGTGTAAAAATGAACAAAGCGCAATAACTGCTAAATTAGGTAGAGCAGAGTTATTTTTGTTGGATTTTTATGCACTGTACTTCTTCCCGATAAGATCTATCTACCTGTACAAATTCTTGTCAGTACATCTTGCAGATTCAGTTATGTGACGAAAAGATATGCAAACGGACGGACGGGCGAGGCGCCTACAGTATGCTCTGTCTTCAGGAAGCATACAAATTAAAGAAAAAAAAATGAAGTTTATCCTTTTTTTATTTTAATATGTCTGGCTAGTCAGTCACACTTGTTCTTATGTCCTTGTTTGCATCATTTCCATAAATAAACGACAAAATTTAGAACACTAAATCAACATGTCCGTTTTTGTCACTACAGTTAATATATAATGTCTATAAATGATTTCAATTCGTACTTAAATAGAAAAATTATGACATCAAATATATGATAAACAAGATCAACAATGAAAGGCGGCGTTCAATGAACCAATTCAAAAATTTGACCTTGGCGTCAATATCGATTCAACCTTTAAGAATGCCTTTCCCAAATGGTTCTTTGGCCAACTATGGAGATAATTAATTAATTACCAAGTTACAGCCTATAATATCAATAATTATTGAAAATACAATAGTTTGACATTTAAGGATAAAATAGTGAAAAACAGAATCCCTAAAGAAAGCCCAACACGGCAAAACTGTAAAATGTTGCAGGCTCGGTTTGATTGAGCCTGTTCATGGATGGTAATGGAAAGTGCAAGTTACCGTCCACGCGCCCTAGCACCGGCTTAAGCAGAATTCAACATTTAACACGAAAATGGTGAAATTTGAATTTAGAAACATCCTCAGATGTGTTCATACGGTGGTCATCATGGAACCTTCAATGTGACACAGTTGTGCCATTCCATGAAAAGCGTCGTATGGTCCCCAAGTAAAAGAATGCTTCCCCATTACCCCTAGTTTCTATTTCTTTTGATTACCCCCCCCCCTTCCCTCAGTCTCCTGTCCCCTTCCCATTTGACTGTGTGGGCCAATAGTCAATCATTTATTTGTTTTCTTTGAATTCCTAATCAGTTACAAATTATTTATCATTTAGTGATTAACCTGTCCGTGCTCTGTCTATGCCATGTCCTGTTTTTGTTTGGGGTCCTCCTGGGCTCCTTGTCACTGGTTCTTGTTGCTGGGTCATATGGTGGTTGCGTTCATTGAACGCCGCCTTTTCTCCGGAACTAAATAAAATGGAATTTTGAAAGGGGATGTGAGGTTATGAAGCGTGCATATCACAGATAAGACGTCAAAAGACAAATTCAAAAAGCTTGCAACATATCCTAAGGGTGATTATACATCATTCAATTAGGAATACTGGAACCACCCAAATTGAAAAAGGCCAAATACAAGAAACTAAATTACCATCTTAAATGTATACACAACAATAATGTCGTAATGAACGATCTTCAAGGATAGAAAATATAACATCATTGATTAAACAGGTCAAGTGAAAATCAACATTTACACATGGTACTTAGAAACATCAGCAGCTGTGTTCATACGACGGTTATCATAAAACTTTCAATGTGCGCAATTTCATGAAAAACTGTGCATATTCACAAAATAAAAGAAAATCCTGTGTCCTAAACGAGAAAACAATAGGCGGGACTAAATAAATTTGAATTTTGAATTGGGCAGTCATGTTCAAGTCACTGTAAAGTCACTGTATAAGTAAAACAGTAGTTTTTCTGTTATCTTCTGGAGGCCTACTGGGATAATTCATGTTTTCAACATCATGAAGAAATAAATATGTCTGAATTTGTAAATTTGAGATCGTGAAGGCCAAAAGATAATTTTATGAAGTACAATTTATAAGTTATAATGGTCTTGAATTCAAAAAGTTTAAATCACGTGTTCACGATGCTGAAATTGTGAAGCTCAAAGCATGAATACGCGTTGTTGAATTCTTGAAGCTGAAATCGTGAACCCTCGAAGAAGTTCAAATTGTGAATTCGTAAAGCCATGAAGTTGAAATATTCAAAATGTGAATTCACCAAGTTAAATTTGAGAATGAATTCATGAAGATGAATTCGGAAATTCATGAAGATGAAACGTCAAACTGGTCTTTTGTCCTTAAATCACCTCTATCAAAATGGTTTATTCAAGCATTAATCTTCATATTTATTTATTATTAATGTTAACAGAGCAGATATACCTTAATGAGTTAAAATATTTCAGCTGAGGAAAGTAAATAAAATCCAATAGTAGGTGAAATGTCTAAATATATTCTATATGTTTCTAGAAAGAAAAAAAAACAACAAAAAAACAAAAAAAAAAACAAAAAAAAAAACAACATAGATTCATGTTAATGGATACTAACAGATGTATTCATTTGTATCTGGTTTGGAATCAATTAAAAAAACACTTGAAACCAAAATTTGTTCATACAAATTAATAAATGAAATAAACAACTAGTTAACATGTTAACGTAGAGTTTGTACGAATACAACGTATATGTTCGCAGTTACAGCACTCACTTTTATGTCAAATGACTGATATGTCGTTTCATTAGTGATTTTATGAATTTAAACATATAATTACGCAATTATAAAGAGCTTTACCTGAATATTGACAAACATTGCTTGGTCTACAGAGCCTTCTGATGATCTATTTGATCGCAGTCAGAATACCAACGATTATGTAACTATATTAACTATTTTTATGTTCCGTTTAAACTGTTCAAGTTCTGTTCCTTTCATCCAAATAAAGTTTCATATTTGGGTAACATAATCAAAGCAACTAAATGTAACATGCGTGATCATTTTTGGAAAACAGTATCGAAACTGCAATTGAGGGGATTATTTACCTTAGAAGAAAAATTGAATGACGCAGTAAAATTTTATAAATAAAGTACAGGTAATTGACAAAATAAGGTAAAGCGTGTGTGTTCATGTTTGCTACATACTATTTGTAAGTTCTAGTTTTAAACTTTTAAGGTACATACGGCCTCAGAACGAATGAATTGTAAGGAGGTTATGTTTAAAACATTCAAATAATGGTTAAGAGCATATTTATTGCATGTTATGTGCTTTTCACCTGCGATAAGAAGCGGTTAATGTACAATTATTTGACATAAAAAGTAAACGTAAATAAATTAAAGTATTTTGAATTACATGATACTAGCAATTTAACGTTTTTGACAAATGAAAACAAAGTTGTTTCTCGGGCATAATTGGCTTTAAACAGATTAAACTTATTATGAATGAATATTTTATGATTATTGTTATTATTACTAGTGGCGACGCCTATGATTTTCCATTTAATTAGCCGGGATAGTACAAATGAGTTTTAAGGACTTCCCATCATAGAGTCTCACATTTCGCCCTTCAAATGCAATTAAAAAATGATAGCACAGACTCCATCAGTAAAATGTGGAACACTAAGCATGCTGTATGTCTTAGAATAGTTTTTTTTTAATTTCAGTAACAATAGGTTACCCATCTTAGAATAGTTGGTTGATAACAATATTTGATAAAACGTTTGTTAATTTCGGTAACAACAACTGGTAAAAAGATACCTAGACCAACGATTACTTGAACTGTGCGTTTGGAAATTTAAGGTTAATCAAAAGTAAGAAATTCTCTGATTACTCAACTAAAATTGTGGCCACATATTCAGTGCGAATATATCAGGCATGTGTTCTATGCGTGATCATTTTCGGAAATCAAAAACAAAACCGAAACTGATATTTCAGGGAATTTTACTTTACCATGAACAAATAACAAACAGTTATAAATAAAGTACAGGTAATTTACAGTCACCCGCATACTAGCTTATTGACGTGAATAGATAACTAAAAAATAGTGAATATTGTTTGTTACTAGATTAAAAAGATGGAGAATGCTATGGCTTTAGTAGAGTTTGACGAAAGTGAAGAAAATAACTTAATAGTATGTGAAGAAGCACTTCAGAAGATTCAGAATTTACCAACCAGTTATGGCATAACAGCGACGGCAATCGTTGGACCAGGGAGAATTGGGAAATCATCGCTCTTGAATTGGCTAGTTGGAAAAAGTAAGTGTATTATTTTAATAATTTACCAAGTTGGCCAATAGCTCAGTTGGTTAGACCACTTACTGTCACTCCTGAGGTTCTTTGGATTTTAAAGAAACACTATCAGTGTTTTCTTCCTACCTAGTGGTATACTGGTACGAAACCCAGGTAATCCTTGCATGTATCAGTGATATTCACATGTAAAAAAACCAAATAAGAGCTACGGACTGGTTCCCGGATTTAGAGCCCACTCATCATCTGTACTGATTAGGTCCTATTCCATTTAGATCTGGTCTGGGTGACTTTTGGAAAATATTAACTTTATAGCATGATCAATCTTAAAAAAAATGTGCCTATTCCAACTTTTAGAAGTTAATATGAAAGAGTATATTGAATGGTAAAAATTTTGCTAGGATTTAAATTGGTTTGCTAGTTTCAAACTGTAAAGTTTAAATATTAAGAATACGTTTTAGTTGTTTGCCTTTAATCACGCCCGTTTAACTCACAACGAGTGTAAAATGTCCATCGGTCAACTTCCGTTCCTCGTTGTGAGCACCCGTCTAGGACGTTTGACACGATAAACAAGGTTAGTTTTTCATAATTTTTGAAGATTACAGACATTTATGTAAAAATATCGGAATGCAGTTAGCTAGCGATGTGTTTTCCGAGTATACATATGTAAAGATATTCTCGATCAACTAGATCTTCTACTTGATCACTATACGATCGCTTCTTGACGTCTTATCTACTCGATCGCTACTCGAAAGTTTTTGACATGTCAAAAAAATTCGGGTAGGAAGGCCGATCCATGCCGACCAAGGTAGACCGCTCCGACCAACCACGATCACGCATGCAGACCAAGCAAGACCGGTACCCGATCGCTTGATCGTGCTTGATCGAGTTGATCTGATCGGCAGTGAGAACACAGCATAAAGAATGAGTTCAAAGCTCAGAGCTAAGCATTTTTTTAATAGTTTACCTTCATTTAGGCAATTCAGCCATATATAGGCCATCATCTCTATAGGAAAATAGGTATTCTGACTGCAAAAGAAATCAGTTCTTTTATTACACACCGGCCCCGAGGCGTGTGATATGGTATACATAAGATAAAAATATCATGGGAAAATTAGCCTCTGTGTTTGACGTCATAAGGCCAAAACAAAATGATCTTGAGGTTCTCGTAACATGTTGAAAAATAATAGGGTAGGTAGGTCGAAAAAATGTTGTTTTTTTAAATTAGAATAGCTGCCGGTTTCTTTTTGCCGCGCCGGTTTTTGGCAAATTCAACCCCTATTTTTACGCGTTTTAAAAAAATGAAAACTATCTTAAATTGTTATATTTACTAAAAGGTTAAATAGTTAATATGTTTTGTTTCTCTATCTTTACTACTTTTTTGTAAAAATGCATTTAAAAAATGCATTTGCCATGGCAAAGTGTGTTTTGCCATGGCATTATGGCATTTTGCCATGGCAAAAATATTTTGCCATGGCCAGATTTTTCCTACATTTGCCATGGCAAATTTGCCATGGCAATCTTTTTTTTTTAAAAATCACATAGCCTTCTAAAACTTATCCTATGACATGTTGTTGGGGCCATTGTTTTAGATTTATTATTAATCTTAATTGCCATGGCAAGGCCGTGGCAAAAGTTTACCATGGCAAAATTGCCATGGCAATTCCATGGCAAAAATTTGCCATGGAAATACCATGGCAAATTTCTGCCATGGCAAATTGCCATGGTATTTCCATGGCAATTTTTTGCCATGGTATATTTTTGCCATGGTAATTACCTAAAAGTTTGCCATGTCAAATCATTATGATATAATTGAAAATTTAATGTATAATCGTTATATTATATTGAAAATGGATAATGTTATATTGTTCTTAAAAGGCGGTTGAATATGCGCACATAAAAATCATATTTCTAGAAAATAATATAAAAGACCTTTCTTTTAAACTATGTTTATTTGCCATAATGTATAATATAAACAGAAAGAAAATAATTGGTTACTGTCACTTTTGTAAAAATTGTTTCCCCTTTTTAATGTTTATGACACACAATTTTTTGAAGTCCTTAAAAAATATGTTGCAATGTAAAATTGTTAACAGAAACATGTCCAACATCTTCATTTGGCTCAAAATTATTGCGCCAGTACCTTTATTCTATATATTTGGATTTAACATTCTGTTCCTGGCATAAATATTTTGATGATTCTTTGACACTGACAAAGTACTTTGGAATTTCCTTTGAAAACTGAGTGAAATGTATGCTGACAGGTGTTGGCACAATGATTTGGATCATAAAGAAATTATTTAATCTATTTTGTTTTATACGGGGAAGTCAAAGACCGGGCCCGGCTATAGACTACACGTAAATATTTAAAAGAAAATAAAATAAAAACAATTAAAAAATATATAGAATTCTATACCTATCAATGAAATTTTCAGTGTCAGTTCTAGTCGGGCGCCGCCATTTACAATATATGTCAATGATAATAGGCAGGGTATTCCGATAACGGAACAAATCTCAACTTTTCGGATTAGTAATAATCATCGAGTGTTCCGAGTCAAAACGGAAGAGGTGTATGTAATATCGAATGACACCTTTAAAACGGAAAGAATGAAAGGATTTGTTTAACGACTTCCCCGTTCATAGGCTTTGCCTAATTTCATATTAATTTATATGTAACTAATTTTATAAGGACTTTGAATTTATGAAAATGGGGAAATTATTCTCACAAAAGTGACAGTTACCAAATATTTTTCTTTCTGATTATGTTATTAGCCCAATCGGGCATTTTCACCAGTCTGTTAAAAGTAAAATGCAATTTGTGATAATGTGATAACAGAATCTTACCTTATTTAGCTGTATTAGCAGTAACCTTGACTTGTTCAATGTTTTATGATGTGAGCTGTATTCAAACCAATCTTTCGAATTACCTTTCATTGTTGATAGTAACGAAACATAAAATTGTACACATACGTGTAGATCAACATACTTTAAACAACTTATCACGTATTATACAGCTTCATGCTCGTTTAACTTTAATCCAAACGTGTTCTGTTTTTATCTCGCACATCCGGTTACTGTTCCTCAAACAGATGTCCTGACTTTAGCATGTAAGTCTGTGTGAATTGTTATTTATTGTATGTAATTACCCCAGACACTTTTATTGATTGATTTAAATAACTGTCAGCACTCTAATCCTTCTGAATTTTGCACAATTTACAATTATTTTTATTTAATTATCACGTTTCCTGCAAGGAAATAGCCGTTTTGTAGACATGCATTATGGGGGTGTTTATATGGTAACCGTTAGCAGCCGATATCGCTGTCGTCTACATGATGAACGCAATAAATTGCGAAATTCAATCTAATGGTACGGATTAGTACTGACCATTTATTTTTGGTAAATGACCAAATTGACCTGTTATTAACCATTTTTGTTGGTCAATTTTCTTGATTAAGTATATTAAAAGGACCAAAACTTGGTAATCTTGGTCAGAATCTTCTTAAAAATTGTACTGTTAGCCTGTTTTGCTTGTCATCAGGGGATAACAAGGAGAAAACTCATTACACTATTAATGTAAGCAATGCTTACTATTCTTAGAGGACTTTTATATAAATACAGATCTAAATTTTAAAATAGGTTAAGATTTAGAGCAAGCTTGTCAGAGCTCATTTATTAATAAGTAGCCTACACTTGTGAATTTCTACTAGAGGTCTGAAAGTTGATACATATATGCTATGTGACAGGATAACTTGCTGAAATTTATGATGCAGCTGTGTTCAAATCATTATTTATCAAACTAATTAACTGCTAAATAAAGCATTAATTGTGTGTTGAAGATATAAACCGGGAAAGAGTATTTTTTGACGAGCCGTCCCATCATGTATATAAACTGGAAAAGAGGATGTCAAGCAATCCCATCACGGTAATTAATAGAATACAATTGGAATATTAATATTTGGCGCAAATTTTCACAATAACATGTTATGTGCAACACCCAGACGCCTACCTCCAAGTTCATGGTCACGTAGAGGTCTGTTATAGGGAATATTTTGTGTCCGATCCATAACTTTTTTTTAAAGCTCGGCACAAATGTTCACAAAAGAAGGCGTTTTATGTGCAACATCCAGACTTGAACTTAATGTCTGCATGAATACAGTTCAGATTAATTTTTGTCATTATAATCAAAAATACTGGTACAATGTATTCCTGTTGACACATACACATATATATTTTGGACTGAATTCTACCCGTGGCACATCTAAGTACATATGTTTAGGAAAGTGTCCATATGACATTCCACTGTGACGGACAGACATGGGCAAATTTTAATGGCCTTTCCCACTAAATGGATACATAAAATAAGGGATGAAAACAATACAAAGGTTATAACTATTTATCACTTTTATTTATTTAATAAATTGACGGATTAAATTATTTCCTTCAATTATTAAGAACAAGAGATCATACAGTCAATTCTTTAACAGTAGATATATACATTAATAACAAGCTATATATTACATTAAGAAAATCATGATTTTAAACTCATAATATACAGTCTGATACAGATATAAAATTGTCTTATAAAAAGCATTGTCAAGCTTTATCTAAATCCAAAATAAGCAAGAAAATAATTATGGATCTATCTACAGCATGTGAATTTTTCCAGGAAAGTGTGAAGTAAGGAATTTCATCTAATCCATATAATTACAAATGTATAATGCAAGAGTCACAATCACATGTGGTCCTTCACATTAAATACCACTTCAGTGCAGTAAGATATTTATGATGGAAATGACATCTAATTTACTGAATGATTTAAAGGGACTCCACTGAGGTTTTTTGACATGATGGGACTGAAAATATTTTTTCCAGATAAATGTACCATTTGATGTAGGTTTAGACCACTAATCTTTGTGCAAAATTTCAGATCATCCGCGCACTTGATTTTTCAAGAACAATTATTCAAATTGTGAAAAAATGACTCAAAATGAAAAGCGTTTTAACGCCT